AAAAAAAAAAAAAAAAATTATAAAAAGGTACAAAGCTGCTACTATTCTGGACGGTGGAGAAGATTTCTTGTCTAGGTTCCCCTATGTAGAGAGCACACCCTGCTGCACTTACTGCAATACAGCCTCCAAGCACAAGTCAAGAGACGGATTCTATTAAACGTCAAAGGTAGGTGAGCCAAGTAAGACGTGCTCTGATGGACAGGCTGCTCAGGGAACAGCTTTGGGAAAGTAAGTGAAATGTCCTTCATCTTTCCCCAAGAAGGAGCTACAGATGCTCTGCAAAAGAGGGGGAAGGAGGAGGAGGGAGAGGCGGGCCGTGCTGCTGTGCGGTGTCTGGGCAGCAGAGGAAGGGGCAGCACCTGGCTCATTGCTCTCAGCCTCCCCAGGCCTCCACTGCGGCCTCCTCTCAGGTGCAGTGTGCAGTCACCTGCACACATCTGAGCCGGCATCTCTCTGGAAAGGGGCTCAGCAGGCATGTTCAGTAGAGCTTCTAGGTAATCTCCTCAAAACTGTTTTTTCTATATATTGCTATGCAAAGGTGTCAGAAATTTTGAAGTTACATACTCAAAGTATAAATATTCTGTAACATGTTTTCAAATAGGGCAAATACAACTCATCACATTGACTAAGGTTTGTAGCCATGCACAGGAGTAACAACTTTCCATTCACTTTTGAGAAAGGGCCAAAAAACAAATGGATGAGATGGGCTGCCCACCCATGGTCAGGAGGGGCACAAACGCTGACCCAACACACCCTGTCACTGCTGTGCCACCAGCTCTGTCTCCCTGGGGAGGAGGGTGAGCAGATCTAACCATTTGGGGCTACAGCCTGCTCTCCTCTTTGTAAGGTAATCATTTACCCCAGCTAGAATTTATGCTAGAAATGTTACACCAATTACTGTAAATCCTTTAACAACCTTCTGGGTTAAGAAGTATTCCCATTTCACAGCGACAAAAACAAGGCCAAGAAAGGTTATTATAAGGTGACATAGTAATGCAATGGGTACTGACATAACTTAGAGGTGTGCACTACCTACAAACTTGGGCTTTTTTCAAGTAAGACATACTCTTTTCTATTTTTTAAAACTATACTTAAATGAAGAACACCAATAATTAAATCTACAAACATGTTATTTGCATCTATCTTGATTAATATGATTATAAAGTCTGTTTAATTTCAAGCTACAGGTAAAATGTCAAAAGAAAGTTAACTGGGGCTCGGCGCCTGTGGCTCAAGCAGCTAAGGCGCCAGCCACATACACCTAAGGTGGCGGGTTC